GCAAAGGCAGCCCAGACAGCATCTCGTGCCAGCCCCAGGAATCGGTGTTGCCAGCCCCAGGGCACTCATTGCTGGGGATATGCCACCCTGTCCTGTCCTCGTGCTCAGGGACTGCAGGTGACACAGGGGAGCCCAGCAAAGTGGCTGCAGTGATGGGCTGAAGCCCTGCTCCAGTGAGAGCGCTGGGTCCTGCCCCATAGCGGGCAGTGGCAATGCTCTGCTGGGTCTCTCACCACCCCGTGCCGGCCACTCTCCCTATAACTGCTGGCAGGGCGAGCATCAGCCCCTCCGGCACAGGCAATGTGCACAGTGTAGGGGCAGGGGTGTGGTGAGGCACTGGTGAATTCGGGCGTCCCGAGCCCCAGCCCCTGCTCCCAGCACTTCTGCTCAGCCATGTTGCCCACACCGTGCAGCCCACAGCACAACCCAGGGGCCACGCACAGGCAGGGCACTGCCAGACCCCTTCCCTCAGATTTGGACCATGCCGTACCCATGCAGTTATTTCCTCCATTGACTTGCATGTATTCAGGGGGGCACACGCAGGTGTAGTTGCCAAGGGTGTTGTAGCATGTCCCGGGGCCGCAGATCCCAATGTGGGCAGAGCACTCATCAATATCTGCCGAATAAAGGAGACTGGAGGTCAAAGCACTGGGTACAGGTAGAGAAGGGCCTGACGTGGGGTTTGGGGTAGGCTTGGCACAAGGTGTGGATGGGCCTGGCACAGGGATGAGACTGGCCTGGCACTGGGAAAGGGGACAGGGTTTGTGGTGAGGATGGGAAGTCTGGAAGAGAAAGGGGAAGGGATTCTGCCAACTGCTCCTAGGGCAGCCCAGATAGACGTACAATTCTGTTGCACGCATGTGCACACATGCGTGCACACATGCATGCCCACACGTCTGCCGTACACGCCAGGCACACAGACAAGCAGAGGCACCACGGTGCAGCTACCTTCACAGATGCGCGTGTCCTCATTGAGGTAGTAGCCGAGGGGACACTCGCACTGGAAGCTGCCAAAAGTGTTCACGCAGTTGCCACCTTGGCAGAGGCCTGGCAGCTCCTGGCACTCGTCGATATCTGAGGAGGGAGAGCAGCCGGGAGGTGTTCACTGCCTGCCAGGCTAGCCCAGGCTAGCTGGCTCCTCCAGCACCCAGGCCCCTGGTGACGGGGCCTGGGGGCCAGGCTGGCTTACCTTCCAGGATGACAGTGATGGGGTTGGGCCGGAAACCTTCTCCTCCAGGGCACAAGGTCTTGTACTCGGCTGTGGAAAAAGCCAGTCAGGGGATCCTGAGCTGAGTGGGCTCCCATGAAACAGGAGGGGTAGGGAGAACCATCAGAAACCCAGGAGAAATAGGCCATGAGGATGGTGACAGTGGTCCAGATGGAGGAGCCTGACTCCCGTCACACACCAAGCCAACTTAGCCACCCTTAGTCTTTGCCTGGCCACCCCAGAACCTCCACTACCCTCCCCCAGCCCACCGGACTAGGAATGAAGGATCTCAACCTGGACCCCCCAGGCACAACCAGCCTAGTCTCCCCCACCCCACTTCACCTGTCCCCTGCCCTGGTCCACCCATCTAGCCCTGGCACAACTGAGGGTTGCCTTCTTCTCCCTCAGCTTCCCTTGCTCCATCATAATGATAGGATATCCTGGACCCAGGACCCCCAGCCTGAGTTGATAAGCCGCAGGGAAGCAGCCCTGTCTCTCTTCTCTGCTCTACTCTGCCCATCCAGCCCATGCCCAAGGTTACCCCAGACATTTTCCCAACTCACTGGTGTTGGCTGGAGGACAAAGCTCGCAGGGGTTGCCCCATGCACGACCCAGCGAGCAGCAGCAGGATGCCCGAGTGACCCCAACTCCAATTTCCGCGCTGCAGGAGATTCCACCATCTCCTCGATCCTGGGTGTCCAGGAAGCAGTTCCCAACACGAGTATCTACACAGGGACAGCAGTGGGTGAGCAAAGCCTCTCCAGTAAAGACTTGTGTGCACAGGAGGAACGAATGGCACTAGTATTGCCTCCAGAAGCAGGGAGAGGAATAAGGCCTCAGTCCTGTCCCAGATGTCCACACTGCCAGATAGCTCTGTTGTAGTAAACCACATCCAGACTGTCCTTGCAGCTCATGACTTTGGGAACCCTTTGAGAATAAAGTGTGCCAGGATTGTCTGGTAAAAGCCATATTATATCATACAGAGGTCACAGCATGGTGGCCTGTCGTCAGTACGGCTAGGGAGCATAACCCAAATAATGCTATCAGCAAACCAGGCCCTTTCAAGAGAAAAACACTTAAGAACAGCTCCAGAGATGCCCAGGCAGCTGTTAATGGTGCCGTCTCCACTAGCAAGTTCTCCCTCCTTACAGTGGCAATTTGCACTGGCATTTTGCTACCTCTGTGGCTCAGGCCGACGGAATAACATCGCTTCAACCAGGAGAGCACCCACACCGGTGACACAAGGTGGGCCAGGCATAACAGGAGGTAGGCACTCTGCTGCTGCAGGGTTAAGCCCATCATCGACAGCCACATATTTGGCAGGGCAGATTGTGGTCAGCCACCCCAGTCTCTGGGAGTGGCCAGCTCCAGCTACATGGGACCAACAAGAAGGACCACCAAGGTCTTGGATGGAAAGTGTGCTCTCCACACAGGTCCCCACTCACCCACACAGCCCACACCAGTGGGGTTCAGCTCGAAGTCCTGTGGGCAGTTGCACAGGTAGCTGCCAGGGGTGTTGACACACAGCCCGTTGATACAGTTCACAGGGTCTGCACATTCATTAATGTCTGAAAAGATGGAAAGATGAAGGCTGAAAAGAAAGATGATGACTGCCACAGAAACCACAGCCCCAGTCCTAAGCTCTGCACTGTGCATTCAGGGTGTATCCCCACAACCATGGTCTTTCTAAGGCTCTTCATGTGATGGTAGGCAAAGCTCTTCTAGAAACAGATCTTGCCTTGTCCTACCTCATACCACCTTGCCCAGAGTCAGAAGAAAGGAGCAGAGCCACACTGAGCTTTCCCTCCTATCCACTGAAGACCCACCTTCCAGCAGCATCGAGGCCTTGCCAAGAGCAAAGACACATCATCACATACCCAGGCATGCTGAGTTGGCTTTAGGCTTCTAGTGCCACTCCCTGTCATGGTTGGGGCAAGCTCATACCAGCAGATCACAGAGCAGTCATCCTCATCCAAGAGCTCCATGAAAGTCCTATACCTGTGCAGTTGCCTCCACTCCTGTCCAGTTCATAGCCATCATCACAGGCGCAGCGGAACATGCCAGGCAGGTTCTGGCAGGTCCCAAAGACACAGATATTCTGGAAGGTGCATTCATCGATGTCTGCAAAACAGGGAGAGCTGGGTAATCGTGATCTGGCAAAACGAGGGACAGGACAGACCTCTCCTGCTCCCACCTCAAAGCAGAGCCACAGCCAAGCTGTGGGTAACCCACATCCTCAGGATGGTTCTAGTGCCCATGGATACCACCTCCTGGGTGAGCAGGACAAGGCACGCTGTGCGTATGCCCTCTCCCCTCACCCCTGTTTTCCTGACTGTCCACATCTTGCATGGATCCTTGGCTTAGCCCAGCCTCTCTGCAGGCTGGGAACCAGCTCCTGTAAGTGGAAGAGCTGGTACCTCAGGAGCCTTGCATCACCAGGTGCTGGTGGGTCTTGCTTAGCAATGGATCTGGTAGTGACAGACCAAGGGCAGAAAGGAGGTGGACACTGGGTCTCCTGGAGTAGTGGTCAAAACTGTGGGCACTTACCCTGGCAGGCCTTGCTGTCCTCTGTGGGATTGAAGCCCATCTCACACTCGCAGCGGTAACCCCCAGGTGCATTGAGACACTGTCCATTCTCACACAGGTTCACATTGTCCGCACACTCATCCACATCTAGGGAGAGTCAAGTGTGAGACTGACATGGTGTCCACCCAAAGATGGGAGCTTCCCTCAGCTTGCCCAGGAAATTCCCACAAGCTTGCTCCCACCCCTCTGCTGGGAGGCTGTGAGGAAGGGGCTACAATACTTCTTATTGCCTCGTTCCTCCCCAAACACCTGCTGAGAAGAAGGTGGATCTCAGCAGAAGGTATCTGAGCAGGCTGTGGTTCAGAGCAGGCTGCAAGGGCTTTTGGAGGACAACCAGTTGGGGAACCCCAGACATGGGCAGCCAGGTGCTGAGCCAGGCTGGTGGCCAAGAGGGGGTGACCCCCTGTCCCAGCGGGATGCCCAAGCCATGTTCCTGCTGCCAATTGAGTGTACAGGCCTCACCTGAGCAAGAGAAGCCATCCCCGTTGAAGCCTTCTCGGCAGGCACAGCGGTAGGAGCCTGGTGTGTTGACACAGTTGGCATTCAGGTTGCACTTGTGCTCCTCAGTTGCACACTCGTCCAGGTCTGGTCAGGGAGAACACCCTCGTCAGTGTTTTGCCTCTGGCCTTTCCCCCAGGCAGCTAGTGTAGGGCCACAAACGGGGGGGCACACAGGTGGCTGAGGAGACTGCAGCCTCCAGGCGCTTGGAGCACTCGTGAGGCTCCAACACATCTGTGTGTCTGTAAGACACTCCACTGGCCACGCTGACACAGGCAAAATGGCAGCGAGACACTTCCACGCACACTTACCCACATCGCTCGCGTCTCCCCAGTTCAGACGCACGTATCCACACACATACCCTTACGTCCCTTCACACAAACCACACACATGCCAGGAAGTCTCTACACTCGTATACACACACCATACACACACCAACACATCCCTACACACAAACAGCCTCTCCTGGGATGAGAACTCACCGTTGCACTTCAGCCCATCTCCAAGCCAGCCCGTGCGACACTTGCATTTGAAGCTCCCAGGCACGTTGATGCAGGAGGCGTGCATGTCGCAGTTGTGAGCCCCGATCTCACATTCGTCAATGTCTGCAGGAAGGAAGGACATCAGAGCTGACACGGCTCAGCTCCTCCAGGAGAGGAGGTGGCAGCCAGGTACAATCCTGCTAAGGGGTCTGGCGACCAATGGCTCCTGGGAGTCTGAACCCCAGAGGATGGGAACAAGGTGCTTTGGGGAACAGGCTGCCAGGAGTTGTAGCCTTGAGCTGAAGAGCTGATCTGCGCTCACCCCTGGAAGATGAAGACAAAAGGAGGGGCAGGTACCTGACTTGGCTATGAACTAGGAAAGTGTTCATTCCTGCCTGAAGCCTGCCTTCCTGGCAATCGCTGCTGGCCCAGCAGGAGATCCCAGCACACCACTACATCTCTGCTGTCCACAGCATCCCCCAGGACAGGGACAGTGTTCCCTCCATGGAGGTGTTTGTGGGTGGTCCCACCAGCCCCCCTAGCTCCGGGTCTGGTGAGTTCCCACCTGTGCAGCCTGTGGTCCCCTTCTTGACGAAGTAGCCCAGCTGGCAGTGACAGATGAAGGAGCCCTTTGTGTTTTCACACTCGCCGTGCAGGCAGATGTTAGGGTTGAGATCACATTCATTCACATCTGCAGGAGAAAAAGGACTTGCTTGGAACACCACAACAACCATGACCTGACTCTGGGGCAACCCTCTGTATCCCCTCCTCCCTCCAACAGCAGCCTTGCGATGCGGTGCTGGCACGTGCCCAGGGCACAGCCTTGTCCTCACCAATACAGGTCTTCATGTCCAGGGACGCCATGAAACCATCGAAGCAGAGGCAGCGGTACTCTCCAGGGATGTTAGTGCACTGCCCACCATCACAGATGTCTGGGTTATCCTCACATTCATCAATATCTAGAAAGAGGAGACCATTGCCAGAGTAAAGAATTTAGAGACAGTGAAAGGGTATTGTGGGAGCAGGAGGGGGCAGGCGGGAGTCACGAGGGAGTCGCAGGAGGGACTTTGGTCCAAAGCATGTAGTTACAGGACTCCAGAGCCTGTAATGAGGGGCTGGATATTGCAGTGCAAAGCAAAAACATCCGTCCAGAGAAATCATCTCTTGGGAAGTGACTTAAAAATGAGACCCCCTCACCCTGAAGCCAACACTACGGCTGACTGGCAATGGATGCAGACATCCCTGGGGCAGCATCTACGAGGGCCGAGCTGACTGCTCACCTGCACACGATCTCTTGTCGGGCATCAATGCGTAGCCTTCACTGCAGCTGCATTCGTAGCTGCCCTCTGAGTTGGAGCAGTGCGTGTCACAGCCGCCGTTGGTTATGGTGCACTCATCAATGTCTGGGGGAGGAGGGAGAGGTCAGGCAGCTGCTTGGGTCACGGGCTGGGATATGTGCCTGGCAGCAGAGCTGCTCAGACACAGTGCCAGTACACAGAGACAGGATGGGATAGGTGCTGAAGAGGAAACAAAGCTCCCCCAGCCAGAAGAAAGCACCTCTTGCCTTCTCTGCTAACCACTCGCAGCTCACAATAGCTTCACGGCTCATAACAGCCCCTTACCAGCAGTGCCAATCTGGCTGGAGCTCAACCAGGAGGTTTCCCCCCTTGCCTGACCTTCAGACGCCCGCTGAGCATTATAAGAGGTATGAGGTCAGGAGGGTTCTGGATGCACACTGGGGTCTTGGCACAGCCATTTGGCAAAGGGGAGCACTCACCGACACAGCCCTGCCTGTCCAGTGTGGTCTGGAAGCCCGAATCACATGCGCACTGGTAGGTACCAATGACGTTGACACAGCGTCCGTTGCGACACAGGTTGTCACTAAGGGAGCATTCATTGATATCTGCAGTGGGAAGAACAGTTTGAGAAGCCAGCCATGTTGATGCCGTGTTGAGTACTCATGAGTACTCATTGAGTACTCAGCATCATTTGGTACTCATTCCTGGGTACCCCCCACCTACTGCTGTCTCCATTCTCAATTTGTCATTGCCCTATTGATCTGTCTGCAGCGAACAGCAGGTAGAACAACGTACACCATAAATACAATGAAACCCTGGGAGTGACCTCGGTCATCCCTGGATGAGTGTGTTTTATGCACATGTGGGACTGGAAGGAGAGATTCATGTGCCCAGCATGAGATCCAAGTCTCCTCCGTATCATTAACCTTGAACAGGCTCTGGTCATAGCAGCTTTCCATCATCTCACCTATGCAAGTGTTCCCTTCAGAAGTCAGCTCATGTCCAGGGGGGCAGATGCATTCAAAGCTGCCATCTGTGTTCATGCAGATCCCACCTCGGCACAGCAGTGGGTCCCGCTCACACTCATTGATATCTGCAGAAAATGACATGAAATGTGGTAGATTGTCCCCTTCAGCTGGGTTTTCCAAATAATGGGGTGGTGCTGGTGCCATGCACCACAGTTCCATCACCAGGATATATCCCAAAACAGAGGGACATCACAAAATTAATAGGGCAGTGAATCCAGGGCTTGGGTGAGTCCAGTAGACTTATGGTTGAAGTACGCATTTCGGGAAATAGCCTCTTGCCTTGATCTCAATAGAATGTGAAGTGTAACTTCAGGAGGGAAGAAGTAAGTAGTTTTGTGCAGATGAGCCAGCAAGGACTGGCTCAGAAGGATAGTTCCTAGTTCCCATCCCACCTATCTTAGTACATTTTCTCAGGTCCCATCAGCAGAGTGACAGTTCTTCGGAAAACATGTATTTTGGTCGATAGAAGACTAACAGACGAGCTTTCCTGGTAACAGCATTTAAGGTAGGCCCAGTATCACACACAGGGCTAGGAAATAGTCTGCACATTTCTGAGAAAATCACATATGGACAAAGGGATTGAATGTACTAAGAACTGGAAAATTTCCTGAAATAAACTGCTTCGAGAGAGATGTGATCCAGCCCAACAAAGATAAAACCAGGCTGCTGGCATTAAAAATGAAAAAAAGTGATAGAAAAGTTTATAAATGCAAGACCCAAAAAACCAAGGGAACCACTGGAACAGTGCACTGGTGGTTGCTGGAAACTAAAACCAACAGAAGAAGGAGATGAAGCACTGTGAGTATCAAAACTGGGAAGCCATGTTATCGATTCATTATCCACGGCTCCTGGAGGAGGCTCTTTGTGATCTGCTATGGTACTGTCTAGGTCACAGTCTTTGTGGTACTTGTGTTTCATGGTGCTACTTAATGCTCTTTGGAAAGGCAAGTGCTGATATCAAATATCTGATCCTCTAACTTTGGCAACAGGAATCTGAGAATGAGGTTTTGGTCCCAGAATAGATTCAAAAGCTTTTGCATTCTTGCGTGCCTCTAGAAGTGACTCAAGATGTCCTGCACTGACAGTAAGAGAGAAAAAAAAAAAAGGAGAGCCTCCCTGGAACTGCTCAGAGGATTCATCTGTCCACAGCTGTACTCTGAGAAATGTGCATTCAGAATACAAAGCCATTGTGTGTAACATAAATGAACTGAGGGAACTACAAAAAATGCCCCCAAGAAGCCCTTAGTGACAGCAGACAAAGGGAGTAATGTCAGATACATTTAAAGAACCCGTTTTTTTCTCATGTGTTTATTTTTCTGATTCCAACCTTGTAATAAAGAATGGAATATTTCACCTTACTTGAACAAAACACTGTTAAGATTTTCACCTTATTTACAGCTAAAGCGGACTGGACTACAATCTGACAAGGAGGGTGACAGGCCCCTGTCGAACAGCCCCACAGGACCCGTGTCTCTGGTTCTCCGTGGTGGGAGACTGTTCCTACGAACTACAGGATGCAGGTTCAGCGCTGATGTTGTCTACTGCCAGGGGCTGGCAAAAATTCCTCCCTCATGAGGCTGAAGCCAAGTTCTTTTGCCAAACAGAAGTTGTTAGTCCTTGACCACGGGAAATGCCACAGTGTCACAACACCCTTTGGGGTGAAATGACTCAATCCCCTGTCACCTAGAAAAAAGGATAAGGTGGAATTGTGCAGATAATAGCAAGCATAAAGAAAACAAAACAAAAAAACCAAAACCCAAACAATGAAACACAACAGCCTTATATAAAGATATCAGAAATCTCAGTGAAAGAAGTTAGCAGGCCATCAGTGAGGACTGTGACATTCTCAGTATCTCAGAAACGGAGGACGAGGAGGAGGAGGAAGATGATCTGTGTGAGCTGTGGCAACCCACGCTACAAATTGTATGGAAAAGACAGAAAACCATGCCAGTGGCAGGGCGGTGATATATCTTAAAGAAGCCAGAGAATCAAATATGAAAAATAAATAAATGGTATTGACTCACACCACAGATTGATGTGGTTTGCAAGTCCAAGCCAAAGCAGAAAGAGCAGAACATTAAGACTAGGTCCGTCAGACAAGTTAGTCTGGCTAGACAGACGAGAAGAGGAACATGGTATGCCAGGAATTAGAGGACAGCAACAGTCTGGCTGACTTGTTGGAGATGAACTGAGGTACTGAGGTCATTGATGGGATTTTTTTAAGCTACAAACACGAATTATTAAATTGAAAACAGATGACAATCTGACAGAATAAAAACAAGCAATGGCCAGATGGGAGGAGCTGTAAAGAATTATTTGAGGATAAAGGATGATTAAATGGGCAGGTGAAAGGGAGCTCTTACAATTAGAACTGGAAATAGCGTGGGGTAGAAGAATGCAGATGGTCTACCAGAACTTCTCATGAAGGACTTGATCTGTGCAAATGTTTGGGGAACTGCACAGGGGCCTGATTAATGGTTGAAGCTGGTATGAAATTGCTGCGGATTGCGATCCCAAGGAAAGGTTCAGAAACAGCAACTGTTCATTAGATATTACATAAGTGAGACCAGGTTGAGTCATTTGAGTGAAGATTCAGTGGAAAGCAGCCCAAGAAAAATTGCATGGATCAGCAAGATTCAGACCTAGAAGAGACACAAGTTATCAAATGGTGAACCTCTTGCTGAGCAAGGTAGGAGGTATCTCCCTGTTCTCATGCCAATGAGGCATTTGATTTAATGGCATATGACTTTAGGATGTGCAATGACAGCAGGAGGCCAAGCAGTGCTACAAAGACCAAAGCTTAATATGTCTCCCAATATACCGCTGGAAATAATAGACCTACTAATGTCAGCAGTGATCTGATGATGATATAACTGACAGCTACTTGCAAGGACCATAGATTATCTAGAAAAGGGTCCAAGCTAAATGTAACTGGATTAAAATGATTGATGTGGTATGCGAGATAGCATTTAGGGCAGGTAGGTGTAACAGGTTAAGAAGATAACTGTGGTGGCATGGATAAGGTACTACACAAAAAGATCTACAAGTTGAGAAACGTTCTGCAATGGTGTTTGAAAGTACATGGTTTAATGTAAGGGTTGAACATATGATATTAATAATGTCTGGAGATGGGTGTGTGTTTACAGTGTGGATATGTAAATAATCAGTGGTGGAATAAATAATAGATGGGTAGCACAAGGCTGAAAAGAAGTAGAAGGAGATGAGATGTCACAAAGGAAACAGCCAAGTGTGTATGAGAATTGGAGCTCACAGCCATTGAGTGTAAGCTGCTGGCCTGGCAGAGCTCCACTGCGTTCTAGCCAATCCCCAGTATAAAGGTTGCCGTCTCCCAGGCATGGATCCTGTCCCGGCTCAGCGGCAATGCCAGGCTTAAGCTCCAGCTGCTGGTGGCTGAAACAAGAGGAAAGGTTAGTGGCCAAGGTTTGGTGCAAGGGAGGGTCCAGGTGAAGGAAGAGTACAAAATGAAGAATGAGCATTGTACAAGTACATGAACAAGTACAGGATGAAAAAGGAAATACAAGGCCTTAGTTTTATGTAAAAAAGGAAGGCAACATTGCACTGGGATTGCAGGGAAATACCCTTTGGGTATAGCAAGCAGGAAAGGGATGGGAAAGAACTTGAGAAAAGTTGGTTGGTGGCCCCATGGGCTCCCAGCGTGGGCTGCTCTGTGGGCTCCCACAGCTGTCCAGGAGGTGGCAGGGCCGGACTAACGATGTCGCATGAGTGTCATGGCAGAAGAGCCCAGGCTGCTCCCCTGGGCCAGGCACTATAGCCAGAGTCCTCCCTGGTGGCCTGGGATGCTAGTCTCCTTCTCCAGCTCATGGGGCACCACGAGCCCAGGTCCTGGGCAAAGGCTCTGGCCTCTGGTCCGGGGGGTCCTCATAAGCAGAGGTCTCTCAGGGAAGGCTCCCAGTTTTGGCCCCAAGACTGGCAACCTTTTCACAGTCTGTCCTTGCCCTGCATGGGGCCCTTCACTGATGGGCTATTGGCCCACATCCATGTAGGAGGCAGAGGCTACAGCTCTATCTCTTTGCCCTCCTTCTCTGGAGGGGTCTGGGGCTCAAGCCAAGACTTGCTGGGGACATGGCTTCTCCCTTTATGTCCTCCAGCTTAGAGAGCCTGTGCTGCACCTCCTGAACCCCTGACTTCGCTTTGCATATGCTTTCCCATCCTGCCAGGGGTACAGCTATGGCGTGCTTAGCTACACACACAGCACTTCCTCGCTCTACACGTGCTGCCCTTCAGCCCAGCTCAGCCTTTGCAATCGAAGCAAGGCAGAAGACTCACTACCCTGGGCGGAGCAAAGGCTACCACGGCTCTCTGCAGCATAGAGACTCCCACTACACCCCCAGAGGGAAATGAAGAGATTTGGCTTGATACCAGGGAACAGAAAGCCAGACAGACAAGTAGCCGGACAGCCAGATGCTCAGAGAGCAGCTTGGCATGAAGCCCTTTATCCGATCTGGCCCCAGCTACCTTCTTCACTATTGCAAAAGAATAAGGGTACTGCCCTGCTCGGGAGAAGAGTCCTTACCCATGCAGTTCTTCATCATCATGAAGCCACTCTCGTAGCCTTCGAAGCACTCACACTCGAAGCTGCCAGGCGTGTTGACACAGGTGCCATGGCCACACAGGTCTGGTGAGATGCGGCACTCATCGATGTCTGTGGGGATGAAGACCAGATAGTGGAGGCGGGACAGGCTACAAGCACCGCTACAGCTGGCGCTGGGCTGCCTGCACTGCACATCAGATTCAATGAACAAGGACTGGCAAGTCTGATCTGGCAGACCAAGGAATCCCTCTTCCTGAAGGGAGAGAAAGTGGTTAAGCTTTCTCTCTGGTGGAGGACTGATCCTTCACCCCATGAGCCAGAGGAGCCTTCTGCTCATGGCCCTGCCCTTGCCTTCTCGGCATGTCCCTAAGATAACTGCTATGACTTCTCGGGGTACCACCACCATGCTAAGCATCCCACAAGACAGGCAAGGCAGCAAGATGGGCAAGAGTGGTCCGGAGGGTGGCTACTCTCCCTTACCTGTGCAGTTCCTTTCCTCAGCATCCAAAGCAAAGCCATTGCCACAGATACATCTGAAGCTTCCAATGGTGTTTCGACAGGTCCCATGAGTGCACAGGCCAGAGAAGACCTTACATTCATTCACATCTGTGGGTGAAGGCAGAACAGCAGTGTTTCAGGGAGGGGATGTCTGCAATGAACCTAGGGTCCCAGGCCAGGCAGTAGGTTCCTTGGGTTGTATCTGAGGTGGGCTGAGCACAGCCCAGGGTCCGCAGCTCCCTTCTTTTTTCTCACCTTTGTAGAAGGGCCTTCCTGAAAGCACGTCTCCTCGGTTGGCAAAGCCGGGTCCCCTTGGGCAGATGGCCTTGTACTCGCTGGAGCCGACCTTGGGACACTCTTCACAATCGATGCCCCAGGCTGAGCCCACAGAACAGCAGCACATGTCGATCCGGTACTTGCCTGGCAGAGGCTCCGTGCACTCATCTTCATCCCATTTCATATAGCACTGTTCCACACGCACGTCTGGTGAGAGAGCAGAGCTGAGCCCTTGCCTGTAGCACCTAACCTCTGGTAAAACCAGAGGTATAATTTTCTGTGACATAGTTAGCAAGGTTCCTCGAACAGCTTTGGCTGAGGCACCTCCAAACAATGCCCAGGCATGGGGCCATTTGGATGAGGCCACCTTGTTTGGGACGCTATGAGAGATTTAATAGTATGGACGTGGCCAGCCTGTGACTGTTGGCGCCAGGGCCAGATAAAGGAGCCTCCATGGTGTAGTTAGCAGTGCAGCTGGCCCCTATGAAGAGCAGAGGTTTGTCACTGTGTGCCCAGAAAGAAGCCAGGAGTTGTTTTAAGGCTGCCAGGCCATGTCATTAACCAGTTCACTTATCTATTTGGCTACCCCTGAAGTCCACCCAAGGAGAATGACTGCACTGCTGGCTGGACCTGGGGACATGAAGCTATGGCAGCCTTGCCTTGGTTAGGCTGCTGGGTTTGGCAGCCCCTACCAGGTATGACGTGCCATCACTCAATTCCCAAGACTGCTGCATGTGCTGGGTAGGGCATGGTTGGACCTCTGTAGAGAGGACTGAACAGATAGCAGGGGTCTCGTGAGATGAGGTGTCCTTACCCACACATGTCCTAGCAGTGCCGTCAAGGGTCAGCCCTTCTGGACACTCGCACCGAAAGGAGCCAGCCGTGTTCACACAGCGTCCGTTTGGGCAGACGCCAGGGAAGACCTCGCACTCATTCACATCTGTTGGCACAAAAGCAAGAGAGAGGCATGAGAGTGGCACATGGCCAAGCCGAGTACGGCCTTGAGGGGCTCCTGGAGGAAAGAGAAGGAGCCCAGAACTGTCCACCAGACTAAAACTGGCAACTTGTCACAATGAAAAACACATGCTCCACACACAGCCACAGCCATACATTTTTGCAAGGAGGCTGCATTACAAAGCCTTGTTAGAGACAGACGGACAGACAGGGTGGCCCTGTTGCACATGTCCATAGTTGGCACAGCACTGGCAGAGAGGCACCAGGACTCATAAACCACGAGTACTCCTGATGGAGCAGCTAAACCTGGCATGTGCATGAATGACAAGACAATCATCAGTAGTAGTCAGCATGGATCGACCAAGGAGAAGTCATAATTGACAAGCGTGATAAAATCCTATGATGAAATGGCTGGCCTGGTAGGAGAGGGAAGAGGGGGGGATATTTTCTATCTAGCCTTCAGTAAGGCATTTGACACTGTCTCCCATGAGAACCTCATAGACAAGCCATTGATGTACAGGCTGGATGAGCAGACAGTGAGGTAGATTGAAAATTGGCTGCCCCTGAGGAGGATCAACCCCATGCACCAATATATACCGAGGGTCACCCAGCTGGAAAGCAGCTTGGCAGAAAAAGGACCTGGGGCTCCTGGTGGACACCAAGTTGAACATGAGTCATCAATGTGCCCTTGCTGCAAAGAAGGCTAAGGGTATCCTGGGCTGCATTAGGAGGAATGTTGCCACAACTGGAGTACTGTGTCCAGTTCTGGGCTCCTCAGTACAAGAGAGAGATGGACGTACTGGAGAGAGTCCAACAAAGGGCCAGACTCAAAGATGCAGGATAGCGACAAATAAAAAGTGACCATGTTCCCAACAAAAAAAAAGTCTTCTGTGTCCTGCAGCACTTTACCTTCACACGTGACCCCCTTCATCCTAGCATATCCCCGGGGGCAGGCAGTATCTGCAAGAAAACAGGGGAACGTCAGCAAAGAAATAAGCTGCCTCCTGCCTTCCTGATCTCTGTGCCAAGCAGAGCCTTACCGATCTCACAGCGCTCACAGGGGCTGCCCCACGCTGCCCCCAGCGTGGCACAGCACTCCGATTTCAGTGTGGCCCCGTTGATGTTCACCTCGCAACGCCCATCCTGGATGTTCAGCCAGCACGTCCCTTTCATGCTGTCTGTAGGAGCAAAGACAAGGCATGAGTGAAGAGCTGCTCCTTGGCAGAGGAGCTTCATGGAACCCAGGGTGCCACGAGAAGCAGCTAGGAGAAACCATCCCTCAGCTGCAATGTGACTGTTGCTCTCTGGTGTCGCATGATCTTTTAGGCTATGGGGCCAAGCACTTTGCAGCACGGACACAAACTATGCTGGTCCTCAGAGCTCTGTCCCACTGCTGTGATGTGGAACAGCATTTCTGTGCTCTCCGACACAACTGCTATTGCATCACTTCTGTGGCCTCCCTTTTCCTAGTCCCAGGCTGCTCCTCTTCTGAGTAAAAACAGTCCTTTCTCTCCAGCTGCCTCAGGGATGCTTTGCAAGGCTCTGACTAGGAGTGGGAAGTGGGCACCTTCTCATCTTGATGAGAAGGGATCTACTTCATCTTGATATCCCTTATTGTCAGCACACTACAAACCCATCTGGTGAGTGAGAACCCACCATCCTGATGCCCTGCAGGATCCCCTGGGACCCCATCTCTGTGCTTTGTCTTGCTGCAGCACAGCTGGGGGGTTCTCTGTCTGACACACACTGCTCAGAGCGCTGCCTCAGGTTGCAGCTTTTCAGGCTCCCTGGATACATGAGAGAGACGTTAATTGTTAACGACAACCAAGGAAACACTAGGTGAGAAAGAGAGGTCTCGAAGGATCTCCATCCCTAAGGCAGGAGCATGGGACTTGCTTCAGATGAACAACAAGGGGTGCTGATGGGCACTGCTGGTATCAGAGCTGCCTCTAGAAGGCCACATCCTTACCCACGCAGATGGTGCCACTGGGGTCCAGCTTGCTGCCTGGGGAGCACTCGCAAGCAAAGGAGCCAGCATTGTTCCTGCAGACACCGTTCACACAAGGGTTAGAGGTGCACTCGTTGATATCTGTGGGAAGAAAGGGACTGTCACTGTAGTGAGTGCCGTCGGACCCAGTTCTCTTGGCCAGAGACTGGGGGAGATGAGAAGCAAAGAACATGAAGAAGGGAGTTTTTCAACTGCTCAGAGGATCACCAGTCTAGGCCGTAGGAGTCCTGCACGTACAACTCGAGTACGCACCGTCGCAAGGGGGACGGGCACGGACAGCAGACACCATGAAATCAGTGAGCTGCTTCAGGACTGAGGCTGGTTGATGCAGCTATGGGGGAATGATGGAATTGCTCTCTCAGGGCTGCTCCTGGCTAAGATGGAAGCGGCCACAGTGCTGAACATGGCCTTCATGTACCTGAGCCAGATGTGAGGCTACATAGCATTTACCACTTTTCACCTTCTTTACAGAAAATAATTTTTTTTTCCTCTAAACAAACATTTATGTGCAAAATGCCAGTCCTCAAATGTTTGAGGACTTTGTGGTCAGGAAACAATTTGCCCCAGTCCAAACTGTAAGCTTTCAATCAAATCGCCAAAACTTGCAATTTTGGTCAGGTTTTAGCTAAAATTCTGGAGGCCTAGGGGAAATTGTTCTGGTTTTCAGTCACTGAAAAGCCCAGATGTTCCGGGTTTGGATGTCCACTGTTTTGAATGAAGTGTGAAATTTCCCCCTAGGAAAAAAAAACAAACCCACAAACCCAAAGCCTGGACCTGCTCCAGTTCAAACCACTGCGGTCAAAAGGGAACCAAAGACACGTTAGACCTTGAGCTCCCTGTTAGGCAGGACCTCAAGCCATAGTTCACTCTTTACATCTTGTGAAGATGTTGTCTGTTGCCTTCAGAGTCACATTACCTTCGCAGGTATCTGTCTCCGTCCTGAAGACAAAGCCCTTGGGGCAGGTGCAGGTGTAGCTGCCGGGTGTGTTGCGGCACAGTCCATTGTCACACAGCAATCGATTGACGGTGCATTCATCGACGTCTGTGGGCAGAGAGATGGGGTTTCTGAGCTACAGCACCAGTGTCCACTCTCCTGCTCTGCCAACGCTTCAGAGCTCTGGCAGCCTGAGAGGCACAGAAATGCAGTACCGCCCTCAAAGCAGTAACAGCGTGGAACGTATGTTAAATCGCATATGCGTAGTTTCTTGCAGAGTACCTTGTGGTCTCCCATGTGGATGAGGCAGCCCTGACTGGGGACAGTGCTCGAGGGCATCATCAGCTGCTCTATCATCTCAGGCTCGCACAGCTCTATCGCGGAGGTCTGTGTCCGGCTCCCAGCCTCACATGCTGAGCGCATGCCTCATGCTGTGCACGCCACCCTCTCCCTGCCAGTGCTGAGCTCCCGATTCCCTACGCCGCACTGAGCTTGCCCCGAACTCACCCACGCAGTTCTTGCCCGTGGGATCTGACTCGTAGCCCAGGTTGCAGATACAGCGGTAGCTTCCACGCAGGTTCTCACACATGCCGTTGGGGCAGATGTCTGGGTTGAGGGCACATTCATTGATGTCTGCACAGAGAAAGAGGTCAAATTAGGTGGACCACAGCAACCGCAAATACAGAAAACTTCCACACCCTAATTCTTCATTGCTTCTTGGTGTCAATAGCCAGCTGGGGCACCTCACTGCAGAAATCCCTCCTTCCTGTCCTACCTACCCTCCTGGTTTGAGCCAGTAGGCTCCGGGGAGCCTCGTTCCTCTCCTCTTGGTGCTGTGGAACTGTCTTTGCCCTGGGGATACACAGCTGATCTAGCACAGGGCTCTGAGCTCAGGAGGAGACGACTGGATAAGAGGTTGAGATAAGCCCAGACTCAGTTTCATATCAAGGGCTCTCAGGTCTTTCTGTGATGTTCCTGAGTCTCCTTACAGCATCTCTATCCCAGGTACTCAGCACAGATCATTTAATAATGGTCTCTCGGAAAAGGTGGGACAAAGAAGCTGTTTGTAAGGTGCTGCGAGTAGGATGCTGCGGCCGAATGGGGTAAGAGCAGAGCACGATGGACAACCTGCCTGTGCCTGCACAGCCCTACCACAGGAGACCACTGCTGGGGGTAGAACGGGGCAAGGAGTACTCAGACATGTTGGAGAGCATGCAGTGAGCCGCTGGACTGGCAGAGGGTCATGCCCATAGCTAGATGGTCACAGCAAAGCCCTTCCGATGGCGAAGTCCCTGTATTTCCTAGCCCAGCCATGGTCTCCAAGCTGAGAGCTTGCACAGGCTCCCTGACCACACAGCTGCCAGGCTGGAAGAAGTCCTAACAGGCCACAGTAAATTTCCTTTCCCTACTGCTGACGTAAAGAACTGTCTGAAAACAGCCTGGGCAGCCTAGAAAGAGAGAAATGAGGACCTATGGCCTCTGCCTGGTTCCTGGCCTTGGAGAACATGTGGCGGTGGGAGGCAGGGACAGAGAGGAGTGTTATGTTTGCGTGAGGGCAGGGCCTGGGACAGGGGCCGAGCCCTGCAGGATGTCAAAACCTCAGCTTCAAAGATTTGCAGAGTGCCTTGGACAAATCTGCCCCAAACTGAGATATTTTTTGGACAGTTCTGCATCAATGTGTGGTGGGTACCACAGTCCCTGCTGCCCATGCGTATGGTGGCTGGGCTCAGGTCTGCAGCGTGTCTGGCAGGGACAGCCACGGGCACCTCTGCCATCACCCACCTCCTGTCTGCCCCCCATCAGCAGCACCAAGGGCAGTAACCCAGCTGGGTGGGCAGCATCTCTTCCTCTGCATCAGCGTCATCTCGCTGCCTTTTTGGGGCAAAGCTCTGGTGCCCAGGCAAAGAGATTTTACCATGGTGAGAACCAGCCTCCCCAGAGAACAGAGCAGGTTTGCGTGTCCTCGCACTGCCATAGTGCCAGGTGGCAAGCAGCCCAGGTGGCTTCCCAGACACTGCTGGCCTTTGCCTCCACGCAGTTGGAGGTCAGTTACATCCCCAGGGAGACGCAACCCTGGAGAGCGCTGAGTGCTTATAGTCCTGGCTGCGGGCAGCGATGGGCTTGACCAGAGCATGTCTGACATTAGCTTCTTGCTAGAAAGCGTCTTATCGTTAGCCTGAGCCTGACTTCGGCCAAGACACGGTGCCCTGGAAGGAAGCCCAAGAAGCCACCAGGGTTTTGCCTCTGGCTCAGTCCCATTTGGAAAGTTTTGAAAGGCCGTAGCTATCTGGCTGCTTCGTGCTCTTCCTGCCGATCCAAGCCCTGCCCGGGGCTGGCAGCGCAGCCGCCTGCCCGACCTCGCGCACAGCTAATTCAAAGCAGCCCCTTGGCAACACAGCCCAGCACGCGCTTATCGCCTCCCTCTCCCCGGATTGTGAGCCCCCTTCTGCCGCGACCAAGGGAGCTGGAGGGCAGAGGAGGGAAACAAGCAAGAGGAGGCAATTGGTCACGCTCTTCGTTCCCATCAAAGCGGGGAGTAAAGCCAAACTCTGTGTGTGCATCCCCAGAAATGCAGTTCCCACAGGGTGCCAGGAATCAGCCACTTGATTCAATACGCAGCCCTCAGGGATGCTTGCTCAACGTCAACTCATGGTGCCTTCGGGAGGAGAAAAGGCTCACAGCACCCCTTTCCCCCTGTGCCCAAGCGCACGTCCCACCCACAGACACTCACTGACACAGAGACCGGCTCTTGCACGCGCTTACGCCCACCCGGGCTACGCGAGCTTACTCACCAACAGCTCTGACGTGACGTGCTAACACGCCAGCGCACCCTCTGCAGTGCCAAGCCTTTCATGGCAAGCGCTCCCACAGTCACACAGATTCATGCACACTGCGTTAAAAGCAGCTGAAAGAGCGAGCTGAGTGTGGCATTAGACGTGCCTATTTAGGATACGGTACAGGCGATGCACATACCTCTGCCATCAGCTGTTATTCCGATGCCGCTGCTGCAGAGAGCCTGGAATTCAGCTGCATAGAAAGCACAACAGAGCCGTTAGCTTTTCTAGAGACTTCACACACTGTGACATTGGATTTATTGTTTGTTTGCTAGAATGTCATCTGTGGGCTTCCAAGCAGGGTCTGTTTATATTTATGCAATGTGTGTTTTAGAGCTGATACTGGTGGTTAGTAGTCCAACACTGTGAGAATGCCTGCAATGAGATCAGCATCTGATACATGGATCCAGCCTAAATTTGTTGACTGCACGGCATCGCTTTCCTGCGCCTATTGCTTTCCCATGTCACTGCCAAGCTGCCTAGGCCATCTCAGGAAGAAACTGTCAGGGACCCAGGATGTCTCTGAGCACCTTCCCGGTTTTTTGCAAATTCAGATGGAAGAGATGCTCACCAGAGTTTTTGGCCGGACAGGGTTGGCAGGGCTCTCCGAAGCCATGGTCTGGGTTAGCACAGCAGCACTCAGACTTGGTGACTGCTCCTGGAAAGGGACGAGCGCACGTGCCCTTTTTAATGCCTCCATAGCAGGTACTGCGCATGTGGGTGTCCACGCAGACTCGTCCATCCACCCCGATAGCCAGGCCCCCGAGGCACTCGCAGCGGAAAGAGCCCTCTGTGTTAATGCACCAGCCATTCATACAGATTCCTGGCGTCTCGCACTCATCGATGTCTGAAAGAGGAAGAACAAACTGGCTGTTACCTACCCACAGGCAGCGGGACACACAGACAGGGGTTTTGGACTATTTTGCAAGGAGACTTGGAGACTAAGAGGGAGCCAGAGGTGTAGCTTAGAGCATCACATCCCACGCATGCTCTGCTGGCTGTCCCTGAGGGTTCAAGGGAAGGAACAGGGATCTGGGCTTCTTCAGTGTCTTGAGACCCAGCCCCTTCTCAGAGTAGCAAGGTCTGGTCTCTGCTCTGTTAATGGGGCAGCGACCCAGAGAATTCATGCCGTGTCACAGCAGCATATTGAAGAAATGCTACTTTCTCCTCTTCCTCCTTTCTCCACTCTGCCTTCACATCCCAAATGTTCTGGTTTTGGGACACAAAAACCCTAGTGGAACATGCTGTAGAGGTGGGGGAAGCTGTGCAGATGACTGCTGCCAGCTCACATTGGCCATACAGAGCTTCACAGCCCTGCCTAACCTCCTTCAGAAAGGGGATTTAAGCTCCTCTTTGAGCTGAGGTAGTGGAGGCTCAAGAACATTTTCCTTTGCGCCCATTCTGCTGAGAGGGGTAATTTCTGGTAGCAGAGCAGGAGATGCCTGGCAACAGCCTTGGTTTTTCTCAGCTCCCCTTGGCCTCAGACACATCACAAGTCCCCAGGAACGTGGATAGCAGGCTGGGAAGAGGGCAGAGACCAAGCTTGGGGACCAACGCACCAACACAGTACCGCCCGTTGGGAGCCAGCACAAAACCAGGCTTGCAGATACATTTGAAGCTGCCATCCTCATTGATACACATCCCGTTGAGGCACATGTTGGTCGTGGCACATTCGTCATGATCTGGGGAGGACAAACAGAAAACATGAGCTGAGCCTGAGAGCTGCAGCAGGACTCTCCCACGCTCAAAATGCTCTGTCCCCCATCTCGTTGACAAATTGCTTCTTATGGCAGTGGGTGCTAATCCTCAAGGCAGCGCTCCCACTGCTTCTGGAGAGGTGAGAGCTATCCTGCTGCGTCCCTGCCGTTCTCGGAACCCTGGTCAGACCGTGCAGCTCGCAGCAGGACTCGGACACTGGCTGCTGGAGAACATCCTGCTTCCAGACCCAGCCCTCCTCATGCTCCTGGACTCCAAAACCTACAGGAGCACTCCAGGAGCACTAGCACCCTTGTAAAAACACCTTCCTATTTCAGTCCTCTCATTTTAAGACGCGCTCTGCCCTACAGGTGAAGGGAGTAGAGCACAGATTAAAGTAACCAGCAATCCCCAGGGAGGACATAGTCTCAGCTGAGTCCCAACCTCCTCAAGGCACATCGGGAAATCGCTTACCAACACAGTTCTTGCCATCAGGGGTGATTTCAAAGCCAGCATTGCAGATACACTGGAAGCTGCCATCAGTGTTAACACAGCGGCCGTTCCTACACATCACTCCATTCATGATGCACTCATCAATATCTGGCAGGGAAATAAACACAAGAAAATAGCAGCAGTTGGAGTGAGAAGCAGTTCCAGCTTAATCTGCTCCATGAGAAAACCAGGCAAGTGCTCTCAGACGCTCAGAGTGTGCTGTGCTGCAGGACCACACTCTTCTCCTCTGTACAAACTACAGGAGATGGAAAAGATGTAGAAAAAGCTTTCTGCATGCTCTGGAAGCAGCACAACATCTGTGAGGTTAGAGCTCTGGGATCTCAGACCGTCCATGGTGCCTTTGTCAACCTCCTGCCCCAGGGCCCCCTTTGCAACTCAAATTATCCTAGGGCTTTAGTAGGCAGCAAAAGCCCTCAGCCCAAGCGCCACGGACTCAGGCCTGCCACAGAGTTGTGGTCCCAATGCCTCAGCAAAATGAATTCCAGGACAGAAACTGGGGTACAATGTGACTGAAGTTCGGCAGCAAGGGAGGTGCTGTGTTGCTCATCAAGAGCTTGACGTCGATTTGGTCTGGGAGACAGGCCACTGAATGCCTCTGGGTAAAGACGAAAGAAAAAAGGAAAAGGACTCTCTCAGGTAGAAGGTTATTACTGACCCTTTGTCAAGAGCTGGGGAAGACACAATGAGCTATTTTATGAGCAAATTACAGAAAAACAATAGTCTAGCCCCAGCAGCAATGGACAATCCAGACACTTTGTAGGCTTCTCCTAACGTGGAGAAGTTGAGAGCAGCCTGAGGGCAAAGGACCTGAATCACAGATGAAATGAGGTGGCCCTGCACAGAAGGAAACCTCCTTCTGGGCTATCAACAGAAGAGCTGTGTGTAAGCCACATGGGACAGTTTCTTGTCCTGACAGCTGGAGAGGTCACAGCTGAAGAACTACACACAATTTTGGCACCACACATTAGAAAAGGACAAAATGGAGGATGTTGAGAAGATAAAAACAAGGACAATGAGAACTTAGAAACATTATCAATGAGAGGAGATTAAGAGACTTGCAGTTGTTTAGTCTAGAAGGGAGATGACAGGGGGTTACAAGTTGCAGTTTCCCAACACGTAAAAAATGTTGTAAAGGAGACAGCAATAAACCCTTTTTCACAGCCAGAAAGAGAATCACAGAAGAATTCAGCTTAAAAGATTCATTTTGGAAATTAGGAAAAGCCTTTCACATTGTTCAGGCAATCGGGGGGTCCTTTGGAAAGCCCTTCATCAGAAGCCACTTGAGAGCAAAATAAAAAAAAGGCACTGACAGGGAAATTTGCCTTTGCTTCTTGTTCACATGGGACATTACCTTCCCACCATCCTTTTTTAGCAGTCCATCACCCAGAGCACCATCTTGCTGCAGGACACCGGCAGAGCGTCTTTGCTAGAAATCACAGCCCCTACGTTGCTACAAACATTCCTCAAAATCCTATCTTTTGTCAAAAGAAAATGTTGTCATCTTTATCAATAGAGTTCTGCTCGATTCCGCTAGCCAATTTTAAGGTAGACAAAGGTAGAGGAAACTTCTAGACAGATTTCAAGACACTGCTTGCAGCTCAACTAAGTTGTTCTGAAATCCTATCCCACACCCGGCTGGGAGGTTGTTCGGTGCTGGGGACTCCCCTTTAGAGCCATTTTCCTTTGGTACCTAGGTCTGCGATAACCCTGCTGACACTCTCGCAGCACACTGTGTCCTCCCAAAAGGAGAGACAGAAAATACTCACCGATGCAAGCCTGCTTCGTGGGCGTGCTCTGGAAGCCCTCGTGGCACTTGCAGTGGTAGGAGCCAGGTGTGTTCACACAGTCCCCGTGCACGCAGGGGCTGCTGGAGCACTCATCCACATCTGCAAGAAGAAAAGCCTAAGCCTGTGAGTCACCACTACGCAGGGAACACACACAAGCTGCCAGGACAGGCGACAAAAGCTGCCTCCTGTTCGCTGCTGAGCCCGTCCTTTCAACTCCAGCGCTCAGCATCCCGGCAGCACAGCCAGCAGGGTCCCTCTGGATGGCATCTCTCCCACTCAGCTTGGTGTCACCTGCAAATTTGCTGAGGGTGGACTCAATCCCTCTATCTACATCCTTGCACTCAATCCTTCCTCTCTAATCCCCTCTGCCTTCCATGTGTTTTGACATATCTTCCCTTCTGAACAGTTTATAGCCAGCAGTTGCAGTGCTCCAGTGGTGTGACTCGTCTCACCACATTTCAGCATCGCTATCTAGCCACACAGTGGCTTCCAGCTCCTCCTGCTTGGTACCCCTGCTGCATGCATTGGCACAGAGGCACTGCAGCTGGGCTATCAACCCTCTCACCTTTTTAAAGAAACACACCCTAATTGTGTTCAAAAAACGTGTGGATGTGGCGCTTCAGGACATGGTTTAGGGGACATGGTGGTGCTGGATTAATGGTTGGACTTGATGATCTTGAAGGTCCTTTCCAACCTAGTGATTCTGTGATTCTGTGATTCCGTAATTCCTTTCAGACATTTCACAGGTGTTTCCCTGTTGGTTCCTAATACACCAGGCAGCCCCTGGCTCTTCTCTGTCGTTCCATCCCCTTCTCCCACTAAATCTAGTATAAAGCTCTCCCTATAACTCTGGCCAGCTTGTTGGCAAAGACATTCTTGCTCCGCTTGATCAGGTGAATCCCATCAGCTCCCAACAGACCCGACTTCTCAAAAGTAGGTCCATGACCACAGAAGCCAAAACCTTGAGATGGCACCAGGCACGCAGCCAGGCATTCACCTGTTCAATTCCTCTCCTCCTTCCTGAACCCCTTCCTCTGACTGGGAAGATAGAGGAGAACACCAGCTGTGCTCCAGATTCTTTTAGCATTGCTCTCAGTGACACATAGTCTCTTCTGGTGGTTCTAAGTTGCCTTGTTGCAGTACCATTAGACCCTACATGGAATACTAGGAGCGGATGTTAATCTGGAGAGTTCGCCAGTCTCAGCAGCCTCTCAGTGATGTTGCAAATGTGAACTCCTGGCAGGCAACAAACTTCTTCAGAGGAAGGTTCTTCCTTCTACCCTGAGCAGAGACAAAGGTCCAGACTCCTTCATCTTATGACTTACTAGCGTCAGTCACCTGGAGGTTGAATTCAGGCTCACCTCCCCCTTGCACAGCCTTAAGGCAGGGCTGTCACTCAGCATGGGACAGCACACAATTCCATGCACCAGTCTCCTGCTTACATTCCCGGGTACTGCGTTGCCTGTTGAGCTCCTCTTATAACATAGATATTTTTTTTAAGAGTTCTTCTAGCTGGGTGTACTTCCAGCTATGACATCCACCACTGACTTCAGGTGCTACGGGGACTTCCAGGTGCTGGATCTCCATGCAGCCTAGGGTCTGGACAGCTATTTCAGCCCTTGAGGGGTCTGTTTAGGTGGAGATGTCAGCATAGGAAGGTTGTTCCTTGCAGATGCAGTGGGTGGGCACCATTTTCTTTCAGTCCTTATAGTTCTCAGAAAAAACAGCCCACTTACAAAACGATAATTCTTTTGAAAGATGTCATCCTTCTAATTCTAATTCCTTGGAGAACTCAAGCTTCTGAGTAGGCTTGCACAGCCATCAGCTAGCTGGGGTGACCGCTGGGGCTGCAGCCTAAGCCTGCAGGGTAAGCAGAGCGGGCAGCGGCCCGATGACCACTAACTGGCAAAGCACGCTACCCGTCCTACGTGAACTGCTGTCGCTGCTCCCTGATTGCTGCTGCTGGTTATATGAGGCTTCCAACGGGGTGAACTGGCCATGGGGAATGCCAGCACCACCCCAGTGCTGGGACTCTGCCCAAGCAGTGACAAGCAGATAAGCCAATGGCAATGTTGTGGCTCCCAGAGGAGAGCTGTCACCCTGGATGTTCCTCGCCGGGCAGACGTATCCTTTCCATCATGCTGCTTCCCTACCTGACACGAGCCCTCTATCTCCAGCCTCCTGTGGGGAGCTCTGACTGGGAAGGGGGCTGTCGGGGCAGCCGCTCGAGGTGATGTTAGGAGCAGGCACGGGGGCACGGTGGGAGCTGACCCGTGTGTGTGTCCAGCAGAGCCTACTCACCAATGCACTCTCCCCGCACGTCCTGCTTGTACCCCATGTTGCACTCGCAGCGGTAGCTGGACGGGGTGGGGATGCAGCGTCCGTTCAGGCAGAGGTTAGTGAAATGCTTGCAGATGTCAATGGTCTGATTCAAAGTGGCGGTTCCTGGAAAGCGCAGAGACAGCATCAGGCAGAGGACTGCAGCTCCCTTCCCTTGGCTGTCCCCAGGGAGCTGGGTCGGTAAGAACAAACACCGCTGGATCAGCGATGCTCCCAGGGGCTGCAGACGCAAGCTCAGCTGCCTCAGAAATCCCTGCAGGGTGCTGTGGTACCTGGCATGCCCCTACCCCGCTGACACGCACAAGATGGCACAGCCTCTCAGAAGCAAGGTAGGAATCAATATTCATTGACACCCAGTGCATTTTTTACAGGCTTCAGCCCCGAGGAAGGAGCTGTATGGGATGCATATGAGAGGGGTGCCCAAGGTGGTAGGAAAAACATTCTTGTTTTGGGGAGGCAGTGAGTGAGGCGGTGACGTGAAAGCTTCATTCCTATTTGGTAATTAGAAAGATATTCTGCACTGGAGCCAGCTTCAGCTCCCTTGCTCTGCCAGCAGACGCCGTTTGATCTGCTTCTGGGCTCAGCATCTTGCACAGCATTAGTGTCACATCCCATCACTCTCCCCGTGTCAAAATAAACCTTGCAGCTGGCTAAGAGCACGGGCGCTTTCCTCATGTGTGCACGGCTCGGAGAAGCGGGCCGGCACACAGGCAGACACGCTGCCTGTGTTCTGAGACAGGCAGCCAAACTGGGTCAGCACAGTCAGAAAGTAATTTTAATTACCAATGCTTGAACTTCCTGGGCCCATTCCAGGCAGACCTGGGATCCCGCCTTGTCCATTTGCCCCATTTGGTCCGATGCCTCCAGGTCCGTTGAGTCCCGGCCCAACACCATTGGGCCCGAATCCAGGAATTCCTGGAAAGCTCCCAGGGAACCCTGGCACGACTGGGAGTCCTTCGATGCAAAGCCTGCGGTACTCATCTGAAACAAAACAGCTGCCTTTTAGTGCTTTTCCAAGAGCGCCTGAATCCTCCTCCTGCCTCTGCCAGAGCGTGGAGAACGGAGGGATGGAGATGGACTGGCAGGGAGCAAAGAGGGTGGGTGCTGATGGGAACAGGGCAGATGGGTGAGGAGGGCTTTAACTCCCTCCGCTCTGGAGCAGATGATGAGACACAGCTTGCCAGGGTGTTTGGCAACAGCTTCTCGGGGTGCGTGGGACAGCTGGCACCGCGGGCTCCCTTCGTGCAGGAAAGGACAGGACATCGGAGGGTGCCCCACACTAAAGCTCTGCCCTGCTCAGAGCTGGTGATGAGAGAAGGGAGGTGGAGAGAGAGATCTGCAGCGCTTTGCCTCCTCAAGGCCTCCTGCTGCCTGGGCTCACCCTCTTTTGGCCCCAAGGTTCAATTACAGTAGGAGCCAAAGAGAGCTGAAGGGGTAGGAGGAAACGGATAAATTCTTGCCTTGGCTGAACTCATCTGGCTCAACTTCAGATGAGACCCAGGCAGAAGAGCCAGCATCCCCATGTGACCTTTCTCTGGGTGTTATGTTGATGAGCCTCCACGTCTGTGCAAGCCTGGGGTACCACTAGGGTCATCAGAGCCACAAGTTGGCCATGCAGCAGGGCAGTCCCTTGTGTTGCACTTACCAGACCCCCGGACAGGACACATCTCTGGAGTCTGACCAATGGCCCAGCAACGCCCCGAGTCACAGCAGCACTGCATCTTGGTGTACTGGCCAGGGAGGTCCCCAGCACAGCGGCCCCCGATCAGCGCAGAGAAACATGTCCCAATCCTCTGGTCTGCAGAGAGGGAGAGGAGAAGATGCATTCACAATGTGTTATCACCATCCTCTTGGTCACGTCCTGACTGCCTGTTCCCAATGGAACTGTCTGGCTGTCCAACGTCCCAGTCTGACCTCCTGTTCTGCCTCATCCTCCCAGTTCATGAGGTCCTGCAGCACCTCACGTCTGGAGCACATCAAGGCTGTAGGCCAGACCTCATTCCCCTGTATTAGATCTCACATTTAGACTCCTAAGTACTATAGGCAGCCTGACCGAGAGCCAGGAATGGGCAGTAGGTGGGCAATCCCTCTCCATCGGATTCTCCATTGGGAGCTGCTTTCCTTGCGCTGCAGGAAGGACAAGCTGACCCAGCAAATTCTGGCTGAATTCACAGAACAGAAAAAGGATGAGATCTCCCACCTCATCACATGTTTCCTCACCTTCCTGAGGAAATGGGATTATTTACAGGTGTCTCCCTCCTCCCATGAGAGTTTCTGCACTGACGAGAGATGTCAGGGCCAGGTTCCCCCACTGACCCAACACACCAGCTGGGAGATGGAGCAGGCTGAGGGGAGGTGGTCTGCAGGAGACCACTGCAAATGTTGACAGTTCCACTACCTGACCCACCCCCTCAGCGGGGACAGATAAACTGTTCTGGACTAAACATGTTATTCAACAAAACTGCATCCTGGGGCTGGGATCCCCATTCTTCAGGTTCCTCCTCTGATATTAGTATCTGTCTTGGATTGCATTTGTGACCAAGGGTTGGCCATCAGTGCCAATATTAGCAGTACAACAGGCCCTTGAACTTGGTCACATGGAGTGGCAGTGTCTTCTCTTCTCTTGGGCTGTTGGACCCAGCGCAATGTATTTTCCCCTTGCTTCTGCCATGAAAAACACTTCCTTGTGATAACAATCCAGTGCTGCCTGCTACTATTTTGAGGGTTCCCAGACAGTGAGCGGGCATTCCCCAGCCTGCAGCAACTCCTGCTCTAGGCTGAAGCCTTGGCTGCAACAGTCCTTTCCCTTGTTCTCACTTGTTGCAGGACAGAGCTGGCAGACCAAGGTGGTCAGCCATCTCCCACACCACTTTGGTCGGGCTGGTGATCCAGGTACAACCCTTCCAGCATTAGTTGGTGGTCCCCGTTGCTGTGATTAGCAAGGACATTTCCACAGCCACTGGTGCCCAGTGTGGTTCTGCACATCTCAGGCCTGGCAAGGACGTGACTCTCTTTCCCAGAACTCATTTAATGGCAAATGTCCCATGTCCCAGCCTTCCCACGAGGAAGCATTCCCTGCCAGGTCCCAGTGGTCCCAGCATCTCTCACTAAACAAATGGAGCTGTTCCCAATTCCACACCCCTCCAGCCTGATTGCTCCTATTCCGAGTGGATGCCTGTTTCAGGTCATGCGTTAGTTCCCACAGCCTGGACTGAGCTGGGAGAAGAACAAGTCCTGGATGGTGGTCAAAGTCCACGAGCCTGGCCAAAGCCACAGACACCAAGCCTGGCACCAGTGTTTGGTGTGTGTGGCTTCTGGACAAGGCCCAGGAGACTGAGGGTCTTTCACATGTCTAGCAGGCTCCATCTGGCATCGGGTCCTCTAGGAAAACCTGAAATCTTCCACTCATTCATCTCCCTTCCTTGTTTCTCAAGTAAATTAATGAGGGGGAAAGTCTAGTCTGATTTGTCATCTGTGCCTCTAGACCGACATTAGCCAGCAGGCTGACACTTTCCTGAAATGTAATTAAAATTAATTGCATGGGGCTGTTTGATCTGTGGGCTGTGGTTACATTTCTTCTCTAATCACAGCTCAGTGACTTGCAGAGGACAGTGACCCCGTTTAAAGCCAGGGTGACTAAACCAGCAGGTCTTTTCTCAGCTACATCCTTTCTGCCATTCTGCAGCACAGGGTTCAGCATGAACTATTCCCTTTTAGGAAACTTTCTCCACCAAAGAGACCTGCAGAAAGACAGACGGACTAGGAGAAGGGAAACTTGAGTGAGGGGATCAAATGCGACACCGGATTAGCTCCTAATCCTAATGAAGGGAAGTACAAGCCATATGGGTGCTTGGGTCATCCCAAGCCCTTGATCTCTGGCAAGTGGCAAGAGTGCAAGAGGAATGCCCACACCTTCGCAGGTTTCAGCAGATGCTGGAGTGCAGAAGAGGGCTGTGTTTCCACAGCACGTTGGCCGGTTGATGTTACTTAGCATCAGCACGTAGTCCCCTCTTACTCCAGAAGGAAGCTTCTCTCTGAACAAGCCAGGGCAGGATAGTGGAGCCATTTGGAAAAGCTGCACCTCAAACCCTTGATGGGAGTTCAGCTAAGTGAGGGCTTAGGGCTGAGCTTAAATGAACTTCTAGATCTGAGGGTGGTAGTTTGGAATAAACCCTTTGGGCATTAGAGAGGACAGATCCCACCCAGATCCTTCTGTTCTTCTGTGGGATGCTTGCTCCCAAAAGCTGTGACACACGGTGACAGCCAGCCAGCTAATGGACAAGGAGTGATTTGGAGAATGCAACCTCCTTCCCCACGGACAGACATGTGCTGACAAGTTTGACAAGGCAGGGAGGTCACAGCAGTTTGTGTAATGGAGGGAATGGTCCAGCCCCTATTCATCTGGACAAATGCTTATTAAATTCAGCTGTCTTTGCTGCAGTTTGTAATAATCTCTCTCAGAAATGAAGGTCAGAACTAATTGAAAACTCATCTGGAGCTGCCTTGGGCAGAGAGGAGTGGATGGAAAGAACAGTGGGTCCCTGCAGTCCCTCTGTGACCTCCTGCAGGACCACCCACATGCTGGAGGTAGGAACACAAAGCCCTCGTGGTTCTGTTCTGCCTTCTTCTGCAGCTGTTAAGGGAACAGGTTTGCACGATAACCTCAGTAAATCAGATAATGCTGCAGGCGAGAAAGGAGGTAAAATTCCACACGAGATTAGACAGCGCACAGAGGTGAGGAATAGAGCCACAGGTCTGCCAGAGGTCTCTGATTCAGAGAGGCTGTGGGTGCTTTGCAAGGTCCAGACAGGAGCAGTAGAGCAGGAGATGGAGTTTGCCCTGCTTATCATAATGGGACAGGAGCGACTCCAAGCTGGACCTTCCTGCTGGGGTCTGCAGAGTTGGGCTGGGCCATGACACCCTGGTGTGTGTCTCCTGATGCCCAGGAGAAGCCCCACATTAAGATCTGTACCCTCTGAGTGACTACCCAGCACGGCTAATCTCTTATCTCCCCTTCCAACGTGGACATCCTCTCTGTGGCGTGCACAAGGTGGCTACGATCTGTGTGCACCTGCAAGGGTTTTTGCAATTTTCAGCCTGATGGAAAGCTGGTTTCTTTCTTTGGTGGTGGGGTAGGGAGAGATAGAGAAATAGAGAGAGTGCTGGTACTGCTTCCCGGCAGAGAACTTTAAAGGGTGAGTATTTTTTTCACTTTGTGTCTTGTCAAGAACAGAAACTGAGAAGCTCAAGTGACCAAACCCAAAACTAGCGGTTGCAAAAGGCAGTTGGCTCTGACTACAAAGGACCTGAGGGCTATTAGCTCAGAAGGGAGCTGCAACACAGCAGCACGTAGCTGTCTCCCACCCAAGATGCCCAATGGTGCTTGGTTTGCAAGGAAGAAGGGTGCAAAAAGGAGCCTCATACTGTGGTGAGGACAGTCAGTCTGGACCAATGATGCCACCATATGTTCTCTGTTTCTGGAAAACTGACCAATTTCATTCTTCTCTGGGGAAGATTAGACGGTGGTGTCTCAGTGAAGAGTCATGCCAGAAAGAAGGCACAAAGCATCCCTCTCTGCACAGCTCCCACCAAACTGCAATATCCACAGCACACCTTGGCCACCAAAGCTTCTGCTGCCTCACTGCAGGACGGCTGCTGTGCGAACAGGGAAGCTCTGGGTGTTATTGCAGGACAGTTTCTTTGCTGGCAAGTGCTACAATAAATTCACTCCCTCCTTGGCTGTTCGCTCTTCTCCAAATTCACCTCCCAGCTCAACTGTTATAAGGTTGAGGTACAAATGTATCTCTGAAATGATCTGATGAAAAATGATTGTCTCTAGGGGGAAATGCTTCACAAACGTGGACTGAATGACCCAGTCTTCAGCCCAGGTCCCTGCACAGGTTCACACTACGGAGCGACTATGGAGACTTTCTACACCCTCTGGTCCCTGCAGAAGTCCAGGCAGATGTCTGCTTGGCAGCATCACCAGCTCCCTCGATGCCTTAGGAGCTCTGGTGGGGCTCTGCTCAGGGTCCCTCCTCAGCTCCTTATCAATCTGTTTTGAGCCTGTGAACCTCACACCATTTCCCTTTTATCATTTCTTGCCCTATGAGATAAATATTATCTCCTCATATTTCCTTTTTCCTCTTGCTCTTTCCTTTCCTGGATAATCACCAAAGCTGGCAAAAAGGGTTCTCCAGGGCAGGTGACACCTGCACAACCTTCTCTGAGCCCGGGACTTTGCAACAATAAGCAAGATCTGGCCCCACCTGGAACTTTAAGCAGGAAATCTGCTGATGTTGCCCAAGAAGAGGTAAGACAAAAATCTCTCAGAGCTTTGTTGCACTATCAGGGAAAAAGAGCAAAGCAAGCGATGCGCCAGAATGCTGACTTGCAATGAACAAGGGAACACCACGTGCAGGTCTGGAAATGCATCTCAAAGGCCATATTTCTCATTTGAAAATTATTCTTCTAAGCTGTTCTTGACCATTGTACAGAAAAGAAAAAAAAACCAACAACCTCACAGGCTGCTGGAGCAGATCCTTCTGCTGCCTGCAAAACACTGAGCCTGTCTTTTACAAGCATAAATGAATGAAGCTGTTATGAACATGTGTGGAACTGGATTCTTTGTGTCAAGCACAGGTGGTTGAATCATTCAATAAATGTTCATTTCAAACTATGACGGACTTTCTCCAGCTACGCTGCTGTTTGCGTTTTACTGAGGAAGGCAGTGAAAGCAGCTAATGAGATTTGGGATCAGCTCAAGCTCAGTGTCTTGCTGTTTCAGCTGCAAAAACTACAGGAGATTATTCAAATGCAATAAAAA